ACACCAAATTATGTGATATAGGCATATTTATGTGAATTCTGTGGTATTATGTGAAACACAGAAAATCACTGGCCCTGACACCCGCCCTAGAGCTGATCCATTTAGGGAGGTCTGACTGTATTTAACTTTTTTGAAAATCGAAATTCTTTTTACGTAATGCATATCTTTGCTTGACACAATTAAAATAATAAATATATATATTAACCTTATCGTTATCTTCAAAATGCAAATTTAACCATTTTTTGTACAATAATTTAACCCATGATAGCGGAAACTATGGGGTGTTATACGGAGTCAGTTTTTGAAGCCGGTCTTCAAACTTGCTGGCTTATAGTTACATGTATTTGAATGAATATATGAATGTCGATATAGCAAGTGCAACTTTTAATTTATACTAGAACAATGCGCTTAACTATTTAAAATATATTTTTTAACGACAGTTTAAGTAACGCTTGATGTTCTAAAAAAAAATGCTCAGAGTTCCAAAAACCCCTTCCTAACCTTCTTTTTTTATAACTTCTAATATCTCATCATAACTTTAAACTTTACAATGAAATTACTACCACTATACGTTGAAATCTTTTTTAATTGTTTTTATCACGATCCTTCGAGGTTAAGATTCGGTTTCTGGAGTCAAGCCGGATCAGTGTTGCTATTTAGGTCATATCAAATTTTATACGTATGACCAAGATGCTCATAATGTAATATATAGTATAATGTTATAAGTCATAACAGGTCATAAGGTTGTATAATTAACAATAGGTCATAACAGGTCATAGGCCAACACTGAGCCGGATAGACATTTTTAATATCTCTAAGAAATTAAAAGATGAAACCCGAATCCAGAATGTATAAGTGGGAACAGAATTTAGCGTTAAAATTTCTTAATGAAGTTAGAATTTTAGATAGAATTTATCTTCTATGAAACTACATCCCTAACTCTAAATTTTAAAAATTCCATTCTTACAACATATATATATGGTTTTATATATTTCTACGTGCAAGACTCTGGGGTCTAACGTATAAGAAAGATTTGACTGTAAAATCTTAGACCTTATACTTCACTTCATATGGCAAAGCCACAATTTGATTTATTTTAATTGTATATACAGTCAGACCTCCGTGAATGCGTCCCTCTCGGGACCATAGTAAAAAAAAAAGAATTGAAAGTTTTATTTAGTCAAGTGTATAGAACTCTTTTGAGATGGGCCCAAGTTATACCGTGCATTTAGAGGGAATTTACATAGAGCGTGCATTGCATTTACGTATGGTGTATATATCTAGATTTGTATATACTTAGCAAAATTTACGCAATTTCTCATCTACGTAGTGTAAATTTATGAAGGTGCATATATATATGCGCAATTTCTCGTCTAGTTTGCATATTTTCATAACCTCACGCTTATACGTATACGATGATTAATTTTATCCGAAGTTTCGTGTTATGTATATATATGATATTCCTTTATCGTTATCGAAGACTATTGCTAGCATACTATCATTATTATCGGGGCCAAACATCTACATAATATTGTTATATGAATTCACAAATTCAAATAGTATCCACTTTTATTAATGTCATTTATTTAACTTTAAAAGAGCAGGAGTACATTGGTACAGCAAAACAGTAAATATACATAGTACTTTGGGTGTTCGCGACATATTCCAAAATTACCGAATTTTCGGGAAGTTTCGGAATATTGCAAAATTGAGAAAACGTGAAAACGTTGAATCAATGCTTAATATGACGTATTTTTAATATATATCAAAAAAATGTTTCATACAGTACTCCAAAAACATTGATACGTTTTAAATAATATTTCTTTTACTATTTATATAACCTAATATGACAATATACACGACTATATTACATAGTTATTTTGATTGGCTACTTTAGATGTATTTTTATTGGTTAACATTTATTCTTTCCTATTGGGGTTATTCGATTATTCTTCCAGCGAAATTTTTCATCGGAACCACTGGCATATTGGAAAAAATATGGATGTCCATCGGCGTTCTAGTTTCCAATCAACAACAATGTCTTTAATAATTTTACTGCAGCCCTTGGTGGTTGCTGCCGACAATAAAGAATTCAACGAAAGTAATAGCAATGATAGTGGTTCTAAGACTGTTGTTACACTTGTTATTCTTGGCATCGTTTTCATAATTGGAATTTTAATCATTTGGGCGTTTATTCGACGACGGTGGATTGTGGGGGATAAAAATAGGATTCCTGATCTTAATGATCCTGAGATTGCTCGAGCAGAAGCTAGCTTGGTTGAAACTTTAGACGATGCTGCACGACAAAGCTATGAACGCGCCCGAAGTATACTTAAACATTATTTTCACTCGATCCTTTATTTCCAACTTATATTAATCGGTCATATATTATCCCTTTTTTTCATTTGCTTTCTTAAATTATTAAGCATTTCAAGAAACTTATCCACCTGATAGTATTCCTACGGAAATTACCTTAACTCAATTCCTTTCCATTCAGGAAAAAGGAGTGTCTGCATGGGAGTTCGAACCAGATCTTCAGCACACGAGCTGTTTCGTAGAATGTCGTACTGAGATCGCATTTTATGATAGTGAATGTTGTGTGCAAACTAATCTTCCATTACCGAAACAGCAAGAAGTATATTATTGGGAATGTAAAATGTATGAGAAACCACCAACTACAACTGTTGCAATCGGATTAGCAACTAAGCCTTTTCCTCTATTCCGATTGCCAGGTAAGAATAAATCCATTTCTGTTGAATTCATATTACATAAATTTTTTAATCTTTTTTATTATTATAATGTAACATTACCCACGCAAAACAAAAAAAAAAAAAAAAAAAAAAGGATGGAATCGTCAATCAGTTGCTTATTTTTCAGACAGTGGATCAAAATATTATAATTCGCCATTCAACGGAAAACCTTATGGCCCTCAATTTCATCAAGGCGATGTTGTTGGTGTCGGGTATCGTCCAAGAACTGGTACCGTTTTCTTTACACGCAATGGTAAAAAATTAGACGATGCATTTACTGGAATGAAAATGAATTTGTTTCCAACCGTTGGAGCAAACGGTCCTTGCAGTGTTCATGTAAATTTTGGTCAAATAGGGTTTGTATTTATTGAGGCAAACGTAAAAAAATGGGGTCTTGCTCCAACAATGGGAACACTTGCTCCACCACCAGCATACGGATCCGAAAGAGGATCAATTTTACTAGAGTCAAGTTCTAGAGGACGCCCATCTGAAGACGTACCTCGTTCACAATATTCGCATGTTGATAATGGTATCATGACTGGAATACCTCCAGAAGCAGGCTTGGACATTTCTCTTTCTGATATCACTGTTCCACCACCTTCTTATTCTTCAGTAGACCGATATTATGAACGTCATTCGTTCATGTCTGAAAACTCTGAGACTTATTTATTGGCTGGTGATCAAAGTGATTCACGAAGAAATAGTTTTGAAAGTTCATCTAGGGACCAACAACGAAATGCCTGAATATTTTTAATTTTATTATAAAATAATTTGAATGTAATAGCTAAAAGATATTTATGTAAGATGGATTATTATTAGGCTTATGATTTTTTTTATTATTTTTTCATGTCTTTCACTCCGATAACAATCTCATACATCATACATTTTTTTCACCGAGTTAAGGCTTACATGACTACCTCGGTAGTTAACCACAACACATACGCATGAATGCATTATTTTTATTTCAACCAAGTTTTGTTGTTTTTTATAGTTTTACTTTCGTTGAATAGGTGAGAAAAAAACGATGAAAATTTTGTTTAACCATTTAAAACAATTAAATCTTAGTTTTGATATAATTTATATGTTATACATGTGACAAATTTCATAACTTTTTTTCCTTTTGAATCTAAAGATTTATCTAAAGATCTAAGTTTAAAGGTCACGATGGCGTTTTAATGTAATTTCGGTTAAGTATAGTATGAAATTCGGAAATAATATTTTTGATATACGGACAATTTTGGAATGTAGAAGGGCATATATACTGTATTTTGCATTTAAACTCTTTATATTATTAAAACAATAAAAAAAAAATGTACAAATTGATATAAATTTTATGATATTACGTAGCATCAATTCTACGTATAATCCTTCCGACCCCATAAAATTAAATTAAATTAGGCCATACCGATACAAGGTTAATAACCCGGCCGGGTCAAAAAAGTTCGCGAAATTTTTAAAAAAATTTTTGACTATATTTACTATCCGAATGAAGTTTTTATAGAAGTGCTTTTTTATATATAAAATTTTTAAAAGCCGGGTTGCCGTGAACTACCCCAGCGTAACCATCAAAAAAAGCACGGGCATGTGATTTTATGTGGCTTATGTGGCTTATGCATTATAC